CCAGATAATCTGGGAGAAACAGAAAACCTGGGATCAGATACTGGATATAGGGCCTGTCTGGAAGGGCACTCAAGACAATCCAGTTCAAGCAGATATTGTGGATTATCTGCCTTTATATTCTGGGTTATATGGCGGTGTGGAAGGATCCCTAGACTAAGTAAGCTTCCTCAGATGTATTTAGTCCAGGAAGGCAACTATGGGCAAAACTAACCAAAGGGCTTAAAAGGAGAATACAGCTGTGTGGAGGGGGCATGAAAGACTACTTTTGGTATAAGGATTTGTAGAGGGCTGCCACCTTGATTTGCTCTGGAATCACTAACTCCCCAATCCCTTTTAAAAGAAGCAAAAAACCTAAGAGAAGAAGCATCCCAATGCAGCCAACTAAATGCAAACAGGCTATGGCAATTCCTCCTTGCAAGGAAGTGCATTGGGGTGAGTTCACCCCAACAAATTTGGGGCAGTCAGAGCAAGAGTGTGTTGGTAGGCAAAGGTGGGAGACATGTGAAAAGGTGAGGAGGGCTGAATTCTCAGGGCCCTTCCACACAGCCATATAACCCAGAATATTATATGGCAGATTATTATTATTATTATGTTTATATTTATTTATATCCCTCTTTTTCTCTCCATATGGAGAGTATATAAAACCATAGCATCCCGTGACTAGATCTTAAACACCTTCATCTTTAAATGCATGTTTGAATAAAAAGGTTTCAGCCTGCCACTGGAAGGACTGCAGGGAGGGAGCTATTCTGGCTTCCTTGGACAGCGAGTCCCAGAGTCTCGGCCACCAAGGGCCCTTCCACAGCCATATAACCCAGTATATGGCATTGAATTTTGCCATTACTTATGTGTATACCGCTTTGAGTCCCCCTTGGAGTGAGAAAAGCGGTATACAAATACTGTAAATAAATAAAATAAATATATCAAGGCATATAATCCACAATATCTGCTTTGAACTGAGTTATCTGAGTCCACACTGTGATATAACCCAGTTCAAAGCAGATAATGTGGGATTTTATTCAGCTGTGTGGAAGGGGCCAGAGAAGGCCCACCAGCTGAGCAGAGAGAAGGGCCTCTCTTGAAGATTTCAGGACCAGGACAGATTCGTACAAAAGGCCAAACAGCCTGGATCTGAACTGTCTAGGAGCCCTTTCACTCAGTCATATATCCCAGAATATCAAGGGAGAAAACTCCACAATATGTGCTTTGAACTGGGTTATCTTAGTCCACACTGCCATATAATCCAGCTCAATGTTGATTTTATACAGCTCTGTGGAAGGAGTTCTGGTAATATCAGTTTTGAACTGGATTAATGAGTCCACACTGCCATATAATCCAACTCAACATGGATTTTATACAGTTTGGTGGAAGGGGCCTTGGATCTTCGGGAAAAGTCCATTCCTATCTTCTTCGCCCTTCCCTTCCAAAATAAGCCTGTGCCAGACCCATCCTGCCTCGGTTTGTGAGGAAGTCAAGCTGCAGCGCGGCGAGGTGTGTTTATTTTAACGGAAGCGTGTGCAAAAGAGCAGGTATACTCCCCCCCCCAAACCCAACAGCTCCTGACTTGCTTCAGCCAAAGGAGTGTAATGTCTATGGGTCCTTCCAGACAGCCATATAACCCAGACTATCAAGGCAGAAAATCCCACAATATCTGTTTTGAATTATGTTATCTGAGGCCCCTTCCACACTGCCGAATAAAATCTCACAATCTTGAAAAACTCTAAAATTGCAACAGCAAAACAACAGAGGGGAAACAATCAGGCACATCTAATCACCTGTCAACAAAAGATTGCCCCGGGCACTGCCAGGCCATCAAATGCTAATCAAGGTGGTCAGTTGAAACATTCACACCTAGCTCCAACAGACAAGAGTCCTTTGTCCCAACCTGATCATTCCACAGATATATAAACCCACTTTCCTAGTTCCAAGAGACCTCACTGCTGTGGCCCACATGGGGGTTTTGTGTGAGAGGTTTGGCCCAATTCTATCATTGGTGGGGTTCAGAATGCTCTTTGAACTATAAATCCCAGCAACTACAACTCCCAAATGTCAAGATTCTATTTTCCCCAAACTCCACCAGTGTTCACATTTGGGCATATTGAGTATTTGTGTAGAGTTTGGTCCAGATCCATCATTGTTTGAGTCCACAAAGCTCTCTGGATGTAGGTGAACTACAACTCCAAAACCAAAGGACACTGCTCACCAACCCTTCCAGTATTTTCTGTTGGTCATGGGAGAACTGTGTGCCAAGTTTGGTTCAATTCCATCGTTGGTGGGGTTCAGAATGCTCTTTGATTGTAGGTGAACTATAAATCCCAGCAACTACAACTCCCAAATGACAAAATCAATTTTTTTTGAGTGAAGGACATACATTGGGTTGTTAGGTGTCTTGTGTCCAAATTTGGTGTCAATTCGTCCAGTGGTTTTTGAGTTCTGTTAATCCCACAAATGAACATTACATTTTTATTTATATAGATTTTCCTAGTTCCAACAGACCTCACTACCTCTGAGAATGCTTGCCATAGATGCAGGCGAAACATCAGGAGAAATTGCCTCTAGAACATGGCAGTATAGCCCGAAAAAACCTACAACAACCAACAACAACAACAACAACTCTTTATTGATTAGTCAATTTTGACCATATCAAAACATGCAAAACATACACTTGCCCATACATACAGGATACATACAGTAAAACCATATATGAATACAAGGCAAGGCATACTCCGGTTTCTCTTCAGATCGCATAAACCAGGGGTCCTCAAACTAAGGCCCGGGGGCCAGATATGGCCCTCCAAGGTCATTTACCCGGCCCTCACTCAGGTTCAACCTAAATCTGAAATGACTTGAAAGCACATAACAACAACAACAATCCTATCTCATCAGCCAAAAGCAGGCCACACTTCCCATTGAAATACTAATTAGTTTATATTTGTTAAAATTGTTCTTCATTTTAATTATTGTATTGTTTTTAAGGGTTTTTTGCACTACACATAAGATGTGTGCATATTCAAATTATAATCTGGCTCATGCTGCAGATACAATAATATCTACACCAGTGGTTCTCAACCTGGGACCCCTGGGGGGGGGGGGTCGCGAGGTGGTGTCAGAGGGGTCGCCAAAGACCATCAGAAAACACAGTATTTTCTGTTAGTCATGGGGGTTCATTGTGGAATGTTTGGGCCAATTCTATCGTTGGTGAGGTTGAAAATGCTCTTTGAATGTAGGTGAACTATAAATCCCAGAAACTACAACTACCAAATGTCAAGGTTTATTTCCCCCAATCTCCATCAGTGTTCACATTTGGGTATATTGAGTATTCATGCTAAGTTTGGTCCAGATCCATCATTGTTTGCGTCCACAGTGCTCTCTGGATATAAGTGAACTACAATTCCAAAACCCTTCCAGTATTTTCTGTTGGTCATGGGATTTCCGTGTGCCACGTTGGGTCCAATTCCATCATTGGGGGAGTTCAGAATGCTCTTTGATTGTAGGTGAACCCTAATATATCCCAGCAACTACAACTCCCAAATTATAAAATCAATCTCCCTCAACCCCACTAGTATTCAAATTTGGGTGTATTGGGTATTTGTGCCAAATTTGGTCCAGTGAATGAAAATACATCCTGCATATCGGATATTTACATTACAATTCATTACAGCAGCAAAATTACAGTTATAAAGTAGCAACAAAATAATGTATTGTCGAAGGCTTTCATGGCTGGAATCACTAGGTTCTTGTGGGTTTTTTCGGGCTATAGAGCCATGTTCTAGAGGCATTTCTCCTGACATTTCGCCTGCATCTATGACAAGCATCCTCAGAGGTAGTGAGGTCTGTTGGAATTAGGACAATGGGTTTATATATCTGTGGAATGGCTGGGGTGGGGCAAATAACTCTTGTCTGTTGGAGCTCGGTGTGAATGTTTCAACTGACCACCTTCATTAGCATTTGAAGGCCTGCCTTAGCCTGGGAAAATCTCTTGCTGAAAGGTGTTAAGATGTGCCTGGTTGTTTCCTCTCTGTTGTTTTGCTGTTGTAATTTTAGAGTTTTTTAATACTGGTAGCCAGATTTTGTTCATTTTCATGGTCTCTTCCTTTCTGTTGAAATTGTCCACATGGTTGTGGATTTCAATGGCTTCTCTGTGTAGTCTGACATGGTGGTTGTTGGTGTGGTCCAGCATTTCTGTGCTATGGTTGGGGGTCACCACAACATGAGGAACTGTATTAATGGGTCGTGGCATTAGGAAGGTTGAGAAACACTGATCTACACCATGCTGCAGATATAATTATTATTATTATTATTAAAAAAATAAAAAATCTGGCCCTCTATTTAAAAAGTTCGAGGATCCTTGGCATAAATCGTCACAACAACCCAAAATCTCACAAGATCTGCTTCGAACTGGCAGTGTGGACTCAGATATTCAAAGCAGATATTGTGGGCTTTGTATTGTCGAAGGCTTTCATGGCCGGAATCACTCAGTTCTTGTGGGTTTTTTCGGGCTATATGGCCATGTTCTAGAGGCATTTCTCCTGACGTTTCGCCTGCATCTATGGCAAGCTTCCTCAGAGGTACCTCTGCGGAAGCTTGCCATAGATGCAGGCGAAACGTCAGGAGAAATGCCTCTAGAACATGGCCATATAGCCCGAAAAAACCCACAAGAACTGATTGTGGGCTTTTTCTGCCTTGATAGTCTGGGTTATATGGCTGTATGGAAGGGTCTCGAATCCACACTGCCATATATTCCAGTTCAAATCGGATACTGTGCGATTGTATTCAGCTGTGTGGAAGGGGCCTATGTGTGCGAGTGGGTCTTTCCATAGAGCTCCCGGCCAGGCCTCGCCTACTCTTAGTCTGGAGACGGCGACTAAGTCTCTTGCCTCTTAAAAGGCAAAAACGAACGCAATTCAAGTCAGGCCGAAAAGGAGGAGGGAATATTTTGGGAAGGGAAGAGAAGGGACTCCTTCCCGCCGCCATTAGCTCCCCGCCTTTGCCTCACTCACCCGTGCCGGGGGGCCTTCATCCTCCTTTGTGCGGAAGGAGAGAGACAGAGAGAGAGAGAAGCAGGTCTGAGGTAAACCGCGTCCCCTCCGCTGAGGGCCTGGCCCGGTGGGGCCCTTCCTCGGCTTCTCTACACGACGAAGGAGAAGGCGACCCACGAAGATTAGGGAGAAAACTGTGAGGAGACAGCGCAGGCCGCTCCGCCTTTACCACAGCCTTTACCACAGCCGCCTCTCGACGCCAGCGCCGCCGTCCCCCCTCCCTCGTCAGAGCGTGAGCGCGCGCGCGCGTGTGTGCCTCTGCCTCTGTGTATGTGTCTGGGCACGCGCCTGCGCAGGAAGACGCGGAGGGAAAACGTCGCGCGCGCGCACACACTCCCTCGCGCTCTCTCTCTTGCGTGCTTGAGGAGTACGGCAGGAGGGGGGGCAACGTTTGGAACGCTCTCTCTCTCACTCACTCGAATTATTCCAATCACTGCTAGTCGTGAAGCATGCCATGATTGGCTGGGGAGGAAAGTGCGAGGCGCGCGGACTCTACCTCCCCCCCCTCCGCGCGTGCCTGCGTCTGTCCCTCCCCATCCCCCCCGTGCTCTCTTTTTAAAGTCCCTGAGGTGTTATTTGGCTGCCTTCCCGCCTCTCTACGGAAGTAGCCGAATGAGTTCGGAAGGGGTCGGCTTTAAAGTGAGCCCCCCCCAGCTCCCCGCACAGGCGCACTAGGATACACCTTTCCCAAAGAGAGGAGAAAGGAGTGCCGAAGTGGTGGCGGAGATTCCCGAAGGAGGTGCCTTCGGGAAAAGCGAGGCGGAGCTTCCCCGCCATTTCCGACCTTGGGAAGTTTTGGCGATGAAGCCCTTTCTCCTCCTGTAACGCCAGGCGCTACCCAAGGCCTCTTCCACACAGCTGAATAAAATCCTTTGAGCTGGGATTGTGCTGTCGCACGCTGGGCCTGTGCATAAGACTGTAGACAGGACATAAATTCTGAGTGCCCAACGGGACGCCGGGGCTGCCTCAGATTAAAGGCCCTTGGACCTCCCCAAAACAAAGTTCTGTAGAGGCTTAAAGTAAGTCCAACAAAGTTCTTTATTGATGAAAACAAACAGGTACTTTAAAGCTTTCTTAACAGTCTATTGGCTCTTGCAATCTTGTTCACTGGGAACAGGCACTATCTTCATAACTATATAATAACTAATGGGGAAATCCTTAACTTCTAATCTGGGCAGTCTGTACTTGCCTCTGTTGGCGTGGAGCCCCTGCACCCGGTACCAAATGCCTCTGGCTTCCGCGAGCGACCCTTACCAAGCAGAACTTTGTAGACTTCCAGGGAAAAAGAAGGAGTTCAGGTTTAGATGATGGCTGGCTCAAGTCCCTCAGCAAACCAGCTGTGTTGTTGTTCATTCGTTCAGTCGTCTCCGACTCTTCGTGACCTCATGGACCAGCCCACGCCAGAGCTCCCTGTCGGCCGTCACCACCCCCAGCTCCTTCAAGGTCAGTCCAGTCACTTTAAGGATGCCATCCATCCATCTTGCCCTTGGTCGGCCCCTCTTCCTTTTACATTCCCCTTTCCCCAGCATCATTGTCTTCTCTAGGCTTTGCTGTCTCCTCATGATGTGGCCAAAGTACTTCAACTTTGTCTCTAGTATCCTTCCCTCCAATGAGAGTCGGGCTTTATTTCCTGGAGGATGGACTGGTTGGATCTTCTCGCAGTCCAAGGCACTCTCAGAACTTTCCTCCAACACCACAGTTCAAAAGCATCTATCTTCCTTCCCTCAGCCTTTCCTAAGGTCCAGCTCTCACATCCGTAGGTGACTACAGGGAATACCATGGCTTTGACTAGGCGGATCTTGGTTGCCAGTCTGATGTCTCTACTCTTTACTATTTTATCGAGACTGGACATTGCTCTCCTCCCAAGAAGTAAGCGTCTTCTGATTTCCTGGCCACAGTCTGCATCTGCAGTAATCTTTGCACCTAGAAATACAAAGTCTGTCATGGCCTCCACATTTTCCCCCTCTATTTCCCAGTTGTCAATCATTCTTGTTGCCATAATCTTGGTTTTTTTATGTTTAGCTGCAAACTGGCTTTTGCACTTTCTTCTTTCACCTTGATTAGAAGGCTCCTCAGCTCCTCCTCGCTTTCGGCCATCAGAGTGGTGTCATCTGCATATCTGAGGTTGTTAATGTTTCTTCCAGCAATTTTCACCCCAGCTTGCCATTCATCAAGCCCCGCACATCGCATGATGTGTTCTGCATACAAGTTAAAAAGGTTGGGTGCGAGCTGTGGGCTGTATAACCCCGGCCAAGCTGTAGGCTATATATCTCCCCGGCCAAGCCATAAAGCTGTATATCTCCCGGCCAAGCCGTAGAAGACAAAGCTTTCTACAGGAGCTCTTCATTTTATGTCTTGTGCGAAAGGCTTCTCTGGGAGAACTGACTCAAAAAGGCTCCTATTCCCTCCAAAACTCAAAAAGGGGGTGGGACCAGGGAACCTAACTATAATTGACAGGTGGCTTGCCCTATGATTGCAGCCAAAAGAAGCCACCTATCCGCAGAGTCCCTGAAACTTAGGACTATAACAAACATTATATGCAAAGCAAACAAAATTGGAGCTCCTGGTACAGCTGTACCTGCACAGGGATATATGGCAGTATGGATTCAGATAACCCAGGTTCCTTGCACACAGCCATATAACCCAGAATATCAATGCAGATGAGCCACAATATCAGTTATAAGAGTCCATATAATCCAGTTCAATGTGGATTTTATACAGGCCCCTTCCACACAATTGACTAAACTCCCACATTTTCTGCTTTGAGCTGGAATATATGACAGTGTGGACTCTGATAATCCAGCTCAAACCGATACTGTGGCTCATTTGCCTTGATATTCTGGGTTAAATGGCTATGTGCAATGTCCCTGATTTCAAAGCAGAGATTGTGGGTTATATGGCTGTATGGAAGTTCCATAAGGGGAAGTGAGCAGCCCAGGATACCAAGTTGTATTTATTTGCTACAGGAATGGGCAACCCATGTGGCTCCTGATATTGGGAGAATAGCACCATGTATGCTGGGACTAATAATAATAATAATAATAATAATATTATTTTGTGTTTGTGTGTCAGGAGTAACTCCTGGTGTGAGAGAATTGGCCGTCTGCAAGGACATTGCCCAGGGGACGCCCGGATGATTTGATGTTTTTATCATCCTTGTGGGAGGCTTCTCTCATGTCCCCGCATGAGGAGCTGGAGCTGATAGAGGGAGCTCATCTGCCTCTTCCCAGATTCGAACCTGCGACCTGTCGGTCTTCGGTCCTGCCGGCACAGGGGGTTAACCTGTGGTCAGGTGGTCAGTGGAAACATTCACACCTAGCTCCAACAGGCAAGAGTTCTTTGCCCCACCCTGGTCATTCCATTTTCCTAGTTCCAAGAGACCTCACTACCTCTGAGGATGCTTGCCATAGATGCAGGCGAAACGTCAGGAGAAAATGACTCTAGAACATGGCCATATAGCCCGAAAAAAACCTACAACAATCCCAAGTACCATTCCTGGTCCATTAGGTAAGAAAGAGTGAGTTATAATTGTGAACTGGAGATAAGCAGGAGTGGACAGCATATTTCTTTTTGTTTAGGAATGATATGTTTAAAGCTGATGATGATGATGATGATAATAATAATAATAATAATAATAATAATAATAATAAACTGTATTTATATACTGCTCTGTCTCTCTGGGGAGACTCAGGGCAGTTTCCAAGCAACAAGATCAAAATATACAGAGTCACAACATGAACAAAAAATAACAGCAACAGCAACATAAGCATGGAATTACCTGACAACACATAAATATTAAAAGAAAAGATCTTGCCTGCTCTTCATATCTGCACCGGGATTGTGGTGCAGCTGGCTGAGTGTCAGCTGCATTAAGATCACTCTGACCAAAAAGGTCATGAGTTCGAAGGGTTGGAGTGGGTTTCCAACCAATTGTGTGTAGCCTGTTGTCGACCTTTGCAACCCGAAAGACAGTTGCATCTGTCAAGTAGGAAAATAAGGTACCACCTTAAAGTGTGGGGAGGCTAAATTAACTGATTTATGAGGCCATAAAGAAGACTCCAGCAAAGCATTCCAGCGGGAAGCATGCGGGGAATGCGGAAGTGCTTCATCAGTGTCGCAGATGGACGATGAAAGCGACAGCTCCCCTGGTGGCCAGAAAAAGTTAAATAGCCTCTGTGTATGTCTGTATATGTTTGTATGTCAAAATTGGCATTGAATGTTTGCCATATATGTGTACACTGTAATCCGCCCTGAGTCCCCTGCGGGGTGAGAAGGGCGGAATATAAAAGCTGTAAATAATAATAATATCTAATTTTTTAGGGCATGGAAAAGGAATGGGTCAGGACAATTAAAAATGACAACCTTATTTAATTTTTTTTTTTAAACACAGCAGTTCGGTAAATATATTAGGGTTTTTTTAAATTAAAAAATCAAGTCTGTTCTGTCTTAAAATACTTTGTGAAAACTGCATTTTCACATTGTCCTCAGCACATTCATATAAAAACCTGGCAGCCTATGGAAATGTCCCAGTCAGCATGAGGAAAAATGAAGGAAGGGTTTTGCTTGGTAATGTGAAAAACGAGTTGCATTGCCTGTGAAATCTACTATAAAGAGACTCCTGCATTGTGCCAATGTACTTATCTTTTCCTTGACAGCTGACTAAGATGTTATTGGGATATCGCAGCAGTTTCTCATGGCACGGTGCCCTCTTCGCCAAGCAGTTTGTGAAGGACAAGTGGATGGGAAAAGCATTGAAGATGCTTGAAATTGGCAGCTGGCCTTCCGTGAAGCTTCAGAGGGAAACACTGGCCTGTATTGTTCGCCTTCCAGCCTACCACCCTCCAGTTCCAATACTGGGAGCTGGCATTTAGAAAGAACTGCCATTGCTTTAGAATAGAAGAGGAGAGCTCATGGCTCAAGAGCAGTACAAGCTCTTTGTGTCCAAAACACTTCACATTCATCATCTTAGTGACTAGCACTGGTTTTGTTGCCCAGTGATATTATTGTATAACTATGTCATGCCCGGTTGTTTTAAAGGATGCAAAGAAAGAAAAAAGGGATAAAAATCTATATTTATATCTATATAATAAAAGTCAAAGTTTGTATGCTCTACATCCTGGTGCGGTTTGGAAGAATTTGACAATGGATGATGGGACTTGCAGTCACTTCACTCACTTCCTGAGACCACTGAGACCCTCGCCAATAACTGATCAAGACCAAACTTGGCACACAGAGCCCCCATGACCCACTCTACATC